GGGTGAGCTTTGGCAAGGAGAAGGGTCACTTCATATGAAAAAGATAGAAAGCAGAGATAGTGACAGAAGGCATCTGGGTGATATGAGATGAGGAGGAAAGAGAAGAGGGAGATGTAGGCAAAGGATCTCAATTTTATCAGTAAAATATGAGATGAGGTTCTCATCTGAGAGGGTGAGGGTAAAGATAAGCCCTGAAAGGTTTGAGGAGAGTTGAAAGGGTTTGGAAGAGCTACTGTGGTGAATGGGATGGTGACTGAAGGCTCAGCTGTTTTTAGCTTTCACAAAGTAACAGGCCAATCTTCTAGTCATGAATTCTCTGATGACATCTTTTTTTTTTAATTTGTAAATTCTCTTGCATAACTCTTTTTTTTGAATTGTGAGGCAACCTATCCATGCCCACCACACAGTTCTCATTGCCATTTGGCAGGCTTTAGCTTCAATTAGTATTCCATGATTTGGAGCCATATAACATTGCAAGAAGTATGTGGTTGTTAAAAATAAGGACTTTTGTTTCTGAAAGAAATTTGGTTTCATTGAAAAAAACTGTACTATTTCCTTTTTTCCTCCTGCTTAGTTCTAGGCCCTCTTTACCACCATAAATTCCATTCAAATAAAACATTCAAAAGGCCATCTTTTAAATAATAATGCACTTCATTTTATACTGCTTTACAATTTTCAAAATGTTTTTCACATATATTATTCCTTTTGAAACTCAAAATTCACCAAAGCATTGCAGCTATTGTAACATCCACTTAACAGATGAGAAAACTGAATCTCACAGGGGTTGTGATTTTCCAAAGGTCACCAGGGTCGGAAAATCCAAACATACATTATATATTTTTTAAAATTTTATATTTTTTATTCTGAATTTAATGAATACTCAAAAAGTATTTCCAAATTCAAAATATAACAGAAAATATTATCAAACCACATATATACTAAGTATACTTTGCTTTTTAAAATGTATATGATAAATTCAACATGCTACAGTCAAAGCTGCCCTACTTGCTTGTGTTTCCTCAGACATATTTTTTAAAAGGAAAAAAAAAAACACATGTAAAAGTTTTAACTTCTCACCATGACTGGTTTCTGTGATAACTGAAATCAATAAAAGGAACCCAAGCTTAGCAATTCCAAATAATTTTATCCAAATGCGTAAGAAATGTCTGAACTGAAATATAATGATTTTAAATTGTGAAATCAATTATTTAAAATGAGAAACCTCCACGGGGTAAGAAACTGTTACATAATAATTTATGCATATTTATGATGACTATGTTATCATAAATCAATATATTCATGGAAGTCAACTATTGGATATAAATACAACACTGAATTAAGCGTTTTACTCAGAAGACTTCCAGATATCTATTATAGCTAACCTTCTCTGTCCTGACCTACGATCCACATCTGTCTAATTGAACACATCAAAATGGTTGTTTCCTATGCACCTCAAACCCAATACATCCAAAACAGAGCTCATTATCTTTTCTCTCAGGCCTTCCCATTCTTCCCTAATTCCATACATCTATCAAAAGCATCATAATCCTTCCAGTCATCCACATTAGCAATGTCAGAGATAGTCTCAAAATTTCAATTTCCCTCATGTCCCATGAAACCTCTTCTCCTTTGTGCTCTTTTCTTTCTAGGTTTTTGTGATCTTCTCCTTGTTCTTCTCCTACCTAACTGATCTCATTTCCATCTCCTTTGCTTGATCTTCATCCATGTCATGTCCCATAACCCTAAGTGTCCTAAAGGGTTCTGTCCTGGGTCCTTTTCTCATCTACCTCTATACTGTTTCACTTGTTGATCTCATTAGTTTTCATGGATTCAATTATCATTTTATGCTGATGATTTTCAATTCTACTTATCCAATCCAAACTTCTCTGATGACTTTCAGTCTTGCAGCTGCAACTACCTATTAGACATCTCACATACCTAGATGTCTTCTTGCCAGTTCTACCACCACATCTCACTCTTCCCTTACATAGTCAGTGCCTAAGGTAAGGTCTGCATCTTCTCTTATTTGGGCTTTTGCAGTAGCCTCTAATTGTTCTCTGTAGCTCAGGTTTCTCCATTCACCAATCCATCCTCCACCCAGGTGCCAAATTGATATTTTGGTCTGACCATGTCAATCCCTTGATTTGTGAAGTTTCAAGGGCTCCCTAGAGCTAGTAGGATAAAATATAAATTCCATCTGACTCCAAACTAATGATATTTAAGTTCATTGCACTTCATTTCCCTTCAAACATTCTATGTACCTGTCCAACTAGGGACTACTTGCTATTCTTTATATTCTCTATGACATTCCATCTCCTATTTCCATGCCATTGTTTATACTGTCTCCCACATTTTGGACTGTACTCCACCTCATAGAATACCCGGCTCCAATATTGAGTTCAATAGTAAGATCATTGAGTGAAATGGTATGGTAGTTTATTAACATTTCTCACATTACTCATAATTTTTGTCCAGAGGAGTTGGGTCAGTTTATAGCTCTAACAACAATGTATTAATATGTCCATTTTCCTGCAATTCTTCCAACATTTCTAGTTCCAACTTCTACTATCTTTGGCAATTGGTGGATGTGAAACCTCAGAATTATCATAATTTGCCATTCTCTATTTATGATTTGGAGCATTTTTGCATGATTGTTGGTTTTTGCAATTCTTTTGAAAACTGTTTGTTCTTGTCCTTTGACCATTCATCTTTGATGGGATAGTTCACTGTCGGTGTAAGTCCATAAATATATTTTTAATGTTAGACTTGTAGCAGAGCTGTTTGAGGCAAAGATTTTTTACTCTAATTGGTAGCTTCTATTTTGATTTTTATAAACTGGTTTTATTTAAACAGCTTTTATGTAATAGAAATTATGTTTAGTCTTTACTAATTATCTCTTGACTTGTTATGAAATCTCCTACAAACCAGAGTTGTGTAAGATATAACTTTCCATTCATTTCCTTTCATTTTTAAATGATAATGGTCTTTTATATTTATACTGCTAATCCATTTGTAGCTTACTGTTGTATATGAGGTAAGATTGTTATCTAACTCTACTTAGTATTCACTATCCTGCTTTCTAGTTTTCTCAAATTCTTTTGTTGAAAAAAGAATATTTTTTTAATAGTTTTGTGTTCTTGGATACATCTAATGCTGAGATAGGTGATCTGCTTCTAGGTCATATCCAATTTATTCCAATTTGTATCTATTTTTAACCAGTATCAAATGGTTTTGACTATTACTGTTGTATAATAAAATTTGAGACTTTTAAAGATTAGATATCCTTCATTCTTTGTGGTTGTTGATCAGTTGTGTCTCATTCTTCATGACTCCATTTGGGGTATTCCCAAATATTTCCAAAGATTTGGGATTTCCCAAATATTTCCAAAGATATTGGAGTAGTTTACAATTTCCTAGTCCAGCTCATTTTTCAAATAAGGAAACTAAGGCAAACAGGGTTAAGTAATTCACCCAGGATCACTAGTAGTATTTGAGGCTGGATTTGAACTCAGATCTTCCTGACTCCAGGTTTGGCACTCTAAACACTGAGCCACCTAGCTACCTTCCCCTCATTCCTATTTTATGAATATTGTTATTATTAATATTATCCTTGAGAGACCTGATCTCTTCTAAACATATTTTGCCTGGTTCTATAAAGAAAACCCTTTGTTATATGATTAGTATAACATTAAATTTATATATTATTATTTTTGTTATATTGATATAGCATAGCCATGAACAATGAACATTTCTCTAATTATTTTAAGAAGTCTTCCTGCATTTCTTCATTTAGTTATATTTACATAGTGTGTGTGTAGGTTAACTTCCAGAAATTATTTTCATTCTGTAGTTGTTCTTAATGGATTTCCCATCTTATTTCTTTCTGATGTTTTTTTTTTTTGTAATGGACAAAAATGCCAATGACTTTTTGTAGATTTGTTTTCCATCCTCATATTTTACCTGAGTCATTAACTGTTTTGATTACTTTCTTTCCTGATCCTCTGGGATCTTTCATATAAACTATTTTACAAACTGCAAATAATGGATAAAAGCTTCTCCCCTTTGTAAATTTTTATTCCTTTTATTTCCTTTTCTGGTATTATTACTATGGCTAAGATTTTTAGAATTGTCAAATAATAACAGGAGGAGGAGATATTCTTGCTTTATCACTAAACTTATTGGGAAAGCTTCCAGCATATTTTCATTACAAATAATGCTAGCTCTTACATACATACACATATAAATATATATCTAAATGGGTACATATGTATGTATATGCACACATGTTAATGTATACATAATTTTGTGTGTATATATGCATATATATAAAACTCTCTCTAGTATATATATAAAATTCTGTATGCACATAATTACATACACACACAAACACACATTTGATCACATTAAAGAAGGGGCTTTCAAGGCCTATGCTTTTTAAGGATTTTTTTCTCACTTAAATGGGTATCATATTGAAAGCTTTTTCTTTATATATTGAGCTATATGACCTATATCACAGTCTCTCAATGGGCTATCCTTCATTGCTGCAATACACTGCCTCCTCACCTCTACCTCAAAGAGTCCATAGCTTTTTTCAAATGCAACTCAAGTACTTCCTTCTACATGAATCCTTTCCTGATCCCTTCAAGTGTTAGTACCCACTCTCTCTCTAACCACTTTTTTTGAACTATTTTCTATTCACTTTATATTTATTCTGTAAATATTTATTTATGTGCATGTTATCTGTCCTGGTAGAAGGTAAGTTCTTTGAGAGTAAGGATTATTTAATTTTTTGTCTTTTTATCCCCAGTTCCCGTATCAGTCTCTGAAATATAATAGGCACTGATTAATGTTTGTTGATTGATTGAGAATAACTTCTTGTCCTCAGTTTGTTCATCTATGAAATGAGATTATTATCCTTAATGATCTGGGATTCCATCATTCCATAATCATAGACACACAGCTTTCATAGTTAAACCAATTTCAGTTTGGAGTTCTCTTACCTTCCTCTTGGTAAGTCTGTATCATCCTTCTTCCATCTTACAGTTGGTTGAGGATCTCCCTGGACCTGACATCGAAATTCAACAGCTTCTTCTTCCAGTATCACTTGGTTAATTGGCCGTCTGAGGAAAGTGGGTCGCTCTTAGGGGGAAAAAAGGTTTCAAAGTGAAGTATAGTGAGTGTTTTGTGTAAATAGTTTATTATATTTCTCCTGTCCTCAGTGTGGGTATCCATGAACACTCTTTTCTAAGCCCTCTTCACTTCTCCCATATTTCTCCTTGATAATCTCATTCCTCACATTATTCAATAAACATCTCCAGACAGTTGACTTACAAATCCATATGATGCCCCCAGGCTCTTCCTAGAATACCACATCTGAATTTCTATATGCCTGCTATATGTTTCCTTCCGAATGTCCATCACCCTCCCAGTCACCAAGCTTTAAAATCTTAGTGTTATTTTTTTAAACTTTTTCCCCGATTTCTCAAAGAGTAATCCAATCAGATGCAAAATTTCATTGATTCTACATCTGTAATATTTCTCTTGTCTTTCTCCATCTCTCTATTTACATAAGCCATTATGATCTCTTGCCTGCACTATTTTCATAATCTCTTAACTATTCTACTTGTTTCTTCTCTTTAATTCATGCTCCATACAGCTGACAAAATAATCCCCTTAATGCACAGGTCTCACCATTCTGTTTCCCCTAGAGAGGCTGTGTGGTGTGCTATTGTTGTATTAAGGAATCTCATCTGAGACACTTATTAGCTATACGATCCTGGACAAGTCCTTTAACCTCTCTGAGGCTCTGTTTTCTTATCCAATAAAATAGGGATAATAATATAATATAGGGATAATAATATAATAATAGTAACACAGAGATTCTGCAAGAGTCAAACAAGATGACAAATTTTGGAACTTAGCAAACCACAAAGCAATATATAAATGCCAGCTATTATTACAGCTCTTCAGCTTGGCATTTAAGTCCCTCTGCAAGCACATTATTACCCTACCTTTCCAGCTCCATTTCACACTATCTCCCTTCACACACTGTTTCAGTCAAATTAGACAAAAAGTTTCTCCTTTAACATGATTTGTTTTCTCTGGCTTCCATGCTTTTGTGTAGGCTGTTCCCCATGCCTTTAATGTGTTCCTTCCTCCTTTTTCTAGTCAAAACTTACTTAATTTCAGATTAGATGCCACCTCTTTCATGAATCCTTCCTGATTATCCTGGCTGATAGTGCTCTCTCCATCAACAAATTTTCCTAGAGCACCTTGTGAAAGTACTTCCTATAATCCCACCTCACTTTATCTTATAGCATCTGTATCCTGCCCTCCCTATCCCCACCTCTAGGACAAGAGCCATCTCATTTTTCATATTTATTTCCTTAGCACATAGTAAGTATTTAATGTCAATTAAATTAAAATGATAAACTGTTACTGCCCTTAAGTGGATTAATTTTTCTTATATTTCAAATAGTCTTAACTTGACATGAGTCTATATGAATTTGGTTTAACTGAACAGAACAAAGGGATCTAATCCTTCTGACGTGTAATTTGCATGTCTACTTATAGATGTCACACGTTTGGACATTTAATACACTGAGTTTATACATCTTAGGTAAATTGAGCTGAATTAGATGGAAGAAAAATTTTAATTCCCATCATAATACCAAATATAATTTTGGCTAATAAATACATAGATATAAGGTAGGGGATAGCAGTATTCCCTTTCCTCTGATCCTCCCAAATGACTATGGTGGCTCAGCAGCCACAGAGGGTTTAAACTGCCTGGATGGCAAAGAAAAAACACAGAAGTGAATATTTACAGTTGTGTTTCAACAGAGTCTAATGTTGCAAAAAAAAAAAGTATATGATTTGGCATGAACACAACATTCCTTAGAACAATTTATATCAGATTGTCACTTTCCACATTATTGCCAGCTGCTTACTTCGCTAAATGTTTTCAAAGATTCTGCCTTTTACCCCCATCTCCAACCTACTAAAAGCATTCCTCCTTTTTTTAACTTAGTTTTTATTTTGCTTCATGTTCTTCCACTATTCTTTTCCATGGTTGTCTGTGTAAACCTATTACATTTTTCCATGAACTTCATCTTTTCATACTTTCATACATTATTTACACATATAAGAAATGCTGGTTGTAGTCTCCAAAATTCAATAATTCTTCCATTAAAGTAATAGTTTCTTTTTTGTGACAGCTACCTGAACTTTTGTGTGATTCATTATTATAAGCTGTTTATTTATTTTCATTTATCTCTAAGTCACGGAGCTATGTTGACACCCAAGATTTCATATTGAAATAGAAAAACTATTATCCAGAAGAAAGAGGTGGCCTCAATAACTTTAATAAGATGATAGATTCAGAGTTGGAAGGAAGGAAGGGACTTTAGATGTCTTCCTGACTTGGAAGTCCAGTGCTATACTAACCACTACACCATGCTGCCTCATCTTTAGCTACGTATCTCTTTTTATGAACATACATAAAACTCTGAACATCAGTTTTCTCTACTGGAACTAGACATGCTATTGTTTTCCTTAAGTTACTGGGATGTGAACAAAATATCTGTTTTTCTCAGCATCTAAGAAGACATTTTGAGTTAGTTCAACCCCACTCTAAGACTCTACTATTCTTTAAAAACTTTGGGTCTCAACTACGAGTAGAGACCAGTTTATGGTATCTTTACTTCTGCTCCTGGGTTGCTAAACATAGCTAAAGTCACAAAATTGAAATTATTCTACCTCTTATAAATTTATGGTGCATAACCTCAGTTGGACCCTCTTTACTACCACCTATCATATCTCAGCAGAAGTTTTATTTACCTCTCATTGACTACTTATTTCACTACCCACAAGAGCCTGTACCAAGTCTTTCTCAAGTTTCCAATGTCACTTCATTTCTCCTATACACAATCACCACTGGACCATGATTGTAAGCCATGCATATCCACAAAAAACAGGGTAGAAGGTTGATTTACTGAAGAAAACTGAGGCCAGTTGATAGGAAATCCTTCAGGCCCCATCTTATAGTCATCAAACCTTCCTCAGAGCAAAAGATGTTCCTATTCCTCTCCAACAATAATCCTACATTCCCAATTCCATTCATTTTCCCTTGTTTCAGAACTTTGTTGAAATAACTATCTTATTTAAGTCATGGATCTCCAATTTCTTTTTCTCTACTAGTTCATTCCTTTCAGCCTACTTACATATACTTATATCTTCGTGGTCCTTTTTTTTTAAGTATCTTTCCCCAGTCCATCCTATCTAACCCTGCTATAACCCTAAATCTTATCCTCTCACCAAATTTCTTTTAAAAATAGTCTACACTTGATGCCTACCAATAAGAAATATCTGATCTGAAATTTCCTTAATTTCTTGTCATTTGGCTTTTATCATTCACTCCAATCAAATAACTCATTCAAAGGTTAACAGTGATCAATAGCTAAATTCACTCTTCTGGTATTTTTTCATTACTTGACCATTCTATGGCATCTGCCAATGCAGAGTGATTGATTACTCACCTCCTCTTCTACATACATGCTCCTCCTTTGGCTTCAAAGAGGCCACATTTTCTTGGCTCTCCAATCTTTGTAAATGATCCTTCTCTGTCTCTTTCACTGACTTCTTACCTTTTTCTCTACCCTTTGTAGAGGGTGTTCCCTATGGTCCTGTTGTCAACTCCCTTTTCTTTTCATTCAGCATCATCCTTTGAAAGTCTCATCCACTTCCACAGTTCAAACAATAGCTAGACTAAACAGGACTCCTAAAGGTAAATTTCTAGTCCTGACCTCTTTTCTGCATTCCCTTTTTATTTACCATTTCAAACTCAACATATATATGTGTGTGTGTGTGTGTGTGTGTGTATGCACACATATATTAACATGATTAATGTGAGAATTTCCTTTGCTCAACTATGAATATTTTTGTTACAGGGTTTTTTTTTTCTTTTTCCCAATTGGAGGGGAGGGAGAGATGGGAAAGAGGAAGACAAAATAGATTTTTGTTAAATCTTTAAAAAAGAAACTTAAAAACAAACAACATGTCCAATATTAAACTTTTTCTGTGACTTCCTTATTCTTTTGGATTCATTTTTTCTGTTGGATGTAAAACCATTCCAATTATCTATCATGTTTAAATATTTAGAAAGTCCTATAGATCATCTTTATCTATGGTATCTCTTGCAACTGTCTACTCTTTTCTCACTACCTCAATCCTAGTATAAGCTCTTATAACTCTTCCTTGCACTAATTTTTCATTTATTCAGAAATATTCTTTTACCAATATTTTAGTATGTGTGTATGTGTATAAATAATTCTGTTGTTTCTTCATTGTGCATCAGTTTGAACTTATTTTCTTGTTATTTCCTGAAATCTTTATATTCCTTACTTCTGTTTTTTTTTTGTTTTGTTTTTTGTTTTTTGCTTTTTGGTGAGGCAATGGAGGTTAAGTGACTTGCCCAGGGTCATACAGCTAGTAAGTGTCAAGTGTCTGAGGCTGGATTTGAACTCAGGTCCTCCTGACTCCAAGGCTGGAGCTCTATCTACTGTGCCACCTAGTTGCCCCCTACATTTCTTATTTCTTTCTGCATAATTATATTAGTACTCTAGTTTTGTTTGTTTGTTTGTTTGTTTTTGGTGTTCTTTCCACAGAGTGCTGCTATAAATATTTTGGTATTTTTGATCTTTTGTATACTATGAATATATTCCCAGTAGCAGAACTGCTTGATTATAGAATATAGACAGTTTAATCACTTTTCTTCATTCCATACTTATGTCCAGAACTGTTGCATCACTTTATAGCTTAGTCAACAGTTTATTTTTTTCTCACAGTTCCTATAACATTAACTCTTCCCATTTTCAGTCAGCTTTGTCAATTTGCACAATGTAAGGCAAAAATTCAGATGTACTAATTTGCATTTGCCTTCCTATTAATGATTTAAAATGTTTTAATTTTGTAATTTATAGCTTGAATTCCTTCTTTGGAAACTTATTCATTTCATTTGACCACTTTTTAACTGTGGAATGATTCTTAGCCTAACAGATTTTTCGGTTTCCTGTACATTTTGGATACAAGACTTCTATCAGTGATAATGATACAAATATCTTTCCACCTTACAATTTCTA